TTTAAAGTAGTTAAGAGTCTTCTCTCTATCCCTTTCTAATTAAATAAACTCCTTTGCTTTCTGTCTTTCTTTGCCTTCATACACAGTCCTGTTCTATTGATCATCTGCTAACAGAGAGTTTTCTTTTCAGAGGATTGCCAAAATCCTATGAAATGTGTGAATAGTTGGAGAAAGACATCTAGGGGCAGTGTGAGAAAACCAAGACACTTCTAGAAAGGTCAGCAAAAATATCATCTCCTTGTTTGCTGAGAGAAGTAGATTTTTGTTTCAAATCCAGGCTTTGCTTGGTGTTTCTGGGTGCCTTTGATGAGTGTCCTAAATGTGAGTATCAGCTACTCTAGGGATTTGCAATCCTTCTGTAAGATGAAGGATTTTGTAGGTGAGACACAGAGGCAGAGACTGCAGACAACAAATCAGTTACAGAAACAAGAAAAGAACTGAGGAGCCTTTCTCCTGCATTTACCTGGGGGTTTATTTATTTGGGACTTTTTCCTATATAGCAAAAACTGGTATTTCAGTCCTTGAGCCTCAGGAGCCTCCTAATTGTCCCAACTGTACTTAAAAATGCTAATCCAAAACAAATGACAAAGCATAGTTCATAACACACCCCCCTTATATTTGTTTTTTTTGGGGGAAGGTTTTTTTGGTTTGTTTTGATTTTTTTTCTCCCAATTCCTGGATACCCCAGCTCTGTTTCTAGTAAAGCAAACTGTTCAAGTTTTGGTGGAACAACAAATGTGTTCTCAGAGAAATGATGCAAAATTATTTTTGAAAGTGCTCAGCCATAGCAATGATGAATTTTCTTCTTTCATCATTTGATCCAGGAGATTCTCCCTGCATGCCATGGCTTATGGAAGAAGGAAATTTGCTGCTACCATGAAGTTCTCTGCAGGCCCCCCATCTGTCTGCTTCTGTGATGGCTCTTTGGGCTTTCTCCTCCTTTTTTTGCCTCTCAGGAAAAAATAAATCCAGCAGATTCCTTGATCACTCGGATTCAGCATCTCCAATTTTAAAATCAATTAAATATCAAAACAAACCACAATATCTCAATTTTTGAGCTCAGGTGAAGGCACCATAAATTCTGGGCACTGCCAGTAGCTCCTGGGGGGAATTGCTGAGATGCAGACTCAAAATTTGTTATTGCAATTTACTGGGACTGGGGAGAGCAGCTATTCCCCACTGAAATCCCTGAAAATCATGGGGTCAAGCCCTGGGGTCACTGAGGTCCATGAGAGTCCCACATTCATGATAGGAGTGTGACTTAACTGGTGTCCTACTCAGGCCAAGCATTTTAGCATCACACTGAGCTTGCTTATACGTTTTTCAAGTTTTGTTCTATTTAAAACCATGTAAACATGAATGAATTTTGGTGAAATCCATGTGGGAATCCAATCCCCTTTCTCAGTGCATATTTGACTAGCTAAAGAAGACTAGTTTGAGGCTGAATTATTCATGTATTTAATATTTTAGAAAACAACTGTGTGTATGTTTTAAAATGTGCTATTCCAGCCCATTCCCACATAGAGCTCTTTCATCTAATTCTGTTGAAAATGTGAGATAGCTGCAATTTTCTGTAAATGAAGATGGATGTGGAAACCCATTCACTTTGATAATGCCAGGTAGGAATTTACCTCGAGGAATTTAGCACCTTTTGGAAAAGCAAACAAAAACCCCATGCCAAAATGGTGACAATGAGTTGCCATTTAAACAGAAATATTGGACAAGTCAAGGCTGGTGGTTAACACTCCCCAGAAAATGACCTTTGCTGAGGTTGCTGCCCTTTGGCTGAGAACAGTTAAATGAAAAGCAGAGTGAGATGTACTTTTGGTGAAGATGCAGCTGTCCTGCCAGTGTTTGCACAGATCCAACATCTGCACAAGAGTGGCAGAGCTGCAGAGCCCTGACTTCAGCAGCAGCTCTGTTTTCCAAAGCTTGCAGGGCTCAGTGATGTTCCTCCTGCCAGAAAATGTTATTTTGTGGTTGGTAATTTGGCTCCTGGTGGTACAGCATTCTATCCAGGTGCTGCTAAAAATATGGCCCTTCATTTACTTCTGGCAGGTTAGAATAGTAAGGAATATTTATAAGGTGTGTTTTTCCCCTTCCAGTTAAAATGTGCCACCCTTGAATAAAAAGAGGAACAGTTGTTTTTTTTTAATATGATGCTTACTTTAGGTTAATGTTGAATTTCCATCAGGCCTTGAACAGCTTGGTGAAAGCTTTCCTAAAAATAGGAATTATCTGGAGATTGCTTGCATCAGAGGGCTAATGGGTGGTTGAAAGCTTGACATAAGAAATAAACTATAAATTTGATGTTCTTGTCTCAGCCCCAGTGATTTTTGGCAAAACCTCCCGTTGCTTAGTAGCTGGATGGTTTGCATCTGTTTTACTCCTGTCCTTTTAGAATAACTTGACAAAGCTGCTTATTTCTCCCTGTAGAGGAAATTATCCTCACTGACACAACTTTAATTTTTTGTACTGATTGAGCATATTCCTCTTTCCACAGAACTGCCAGCCCATGACTGCTGAGAGGAAATGAATCTATTCTGCTGAAGCTTCTCAGTGAATTCAGATGTTTACAGGTAAGTGGACACCAAATCACTGCAGGATGACAATGCTAAAAGACAGAAATGCATTTTTTTCAGGCACTGGTTTTCAAAGCTTTTCAAGGTACAGTTTCTTTCTCATTGATCTCTGAAGGCCTAAATAGTGGTTACAATTTCAAGATTTTTTGTCATCTCTAACAGTTCAGAACCCTTTTTGAATCCCATTGTGATCTGTTTGAAAAAAATAATACTTTACAAAACAATCTCTTGGTGAGCAGCTTCCACCAGAGATTACTGTGATTAAGGAATAACTCCTTGACAATAGTTTATTAGTTTTTGAATTTCTCAAACCTTTTCCTCAGAGCAACCTGGAGAGCTGAGCATCACAGTGAGTGTAATACATAATTTAAGCTATTATTCTCTAGACTGAATGGTGATGTAGAATTCAGTAAGTCAGAAGAGATTTAATTTTTTAGTTTATTGCTGCCTGCACGAAAGCTTTCCTTGTTGCAAAGAGAAGACAATTAGATTCCTGAGGGGCACAGTAATTTGCAATTGTATTCATTTGTAAAACAGAAACAAAATGTCAAGCCTTGTACAGCAAAAAGGGCATGGGGCCCTCATAATAGGGCAAAAAATAATAAACCTTGTAGCTTGCTAATAACTTCATTTGTGTGCTTAAACAAGGCAAAAAGGATGGTTCTGCATGCAGTGGCCCTGTAAGAAACTGATGAACTTGGACTACACAGATAGAGACTTTATACACCTCTTGTCAAGCTTTTAGAATGTTGCACTGGTGATTGAAATGTGAAGCACTAACACTAATAATGCCAAAGGAACATTCTATTGAACATTCCATTGTGCAGCACAAGGCAGGTGACACATAATTCACTGAGGACTACATTGATAGTAGCAGATAAAAGAATGTATTTGAGTTCAGGCTGTGCTGAGATTTATTTTCCCAAGATGGGAGTTTTGATGTCTGTTATCTCTCCATTTTGCCAAACAAAAATCCTGGATGCTTGCTTTTTACAAAGGGCTGCCTGGGTTCTGTAATAGAATATATTACACTTCATTTCTGCTCTGCAATTTTATGGCATTTTCTATTTCCTTAATGAAACCTGTTAAGAAAAGAACACTAATAAAGAAATTGATATTTAACTCTATGATCTGTGTTGGAACCTGCAAAGAAATGTTATGAAGGAGAGAGGAACACATTGTTGGAGAAAAGAGAACTTTCCAGCCCTTTACTTTGTGTGTGAATTACTTAGTCCTGAGGTATTGAAGGCACCTTCTAAGAAGTGAATGCCTTGTCTTGCACTTCTTGGCCTGGATTTGCAGAGCATTTAAATATATGCCAATTTAAGAAATACTAAAAAATTTAAAAATTGACCTTGGCACAAATTTTAAGTGAAGCCTCTAATTCAGGGCAACTTTTTGACAGGTTTTTTGAACTATCTGCACCAGCTTCTTGAAAATGCCAGACCCAACAGAGCTAAGTGGGAGCAGTGGAAGGGACATGTGGATGCCCTTTAGATGATTGGTGCCCCTATCTGGTCACCCAAAAAATGAGAAACAATATAAGTTTGAAAATGAGGACAAAAAAATTACCTGAGTCTAGATAGGCTGACTGTAAAAACATTTTTTTGGCCACAAATTTTTAAGATCTCTATCCCAGAATACAGATCTGTATCCCAGTATCTTATTCTCAAGCAGAAGACATTTGGTATATGTAAAAGGAGAAAACTGATCTCACAGTAAATGATTTGAAGAGTTTAATGCTGAAGCAATTTATTTCAATGGCAGAATTCCCCTGGATTTCTGAGTGGGCAGAAATGTGCCTCATACACTAACTCAGCCTTTGTCTGCTGCTGCTGCTTCTCTATTCTGCCATCTTAGGCAACAATTTGTTCCAGCTTAAAATGACCATAGAGAAGCTTTTTTTTGCAGCAAATTTAGAGGCTGACTGAGGCTTGGAATTTTAGCTCTGCGATTCCATTGCTTCAGCCATGCCATTCCACACCCTGCTTCCAAGACACAACTGTCACATTCACATTTTCTGAAAAACCCCTTTGCCCAGGATTTCTCTCCTGGGAGACTGGGAAGCCTCAGAGAAGGAGTAAAACCATAATTATCTCATTGCTTCTCCTGTGTTTTGCTGCGTTGGAATGTGTTTGGAGATTGTTTATCCAACAGGTGATTGTTTCATTGGTTTCATGTGAATTGTTTTGACTCATTGGCCAATCAGGGTCAAACTATGTCAGGACTCTGGAAGAAACATGAGTTTTCATTATTGTCTTTTTAGCATTCTGTATTCTTTAGTATAGTTTAGTATAGCATTCTTTAATATAATATAGTATCATAAAATAATAAATGAGCCTTCTGAGAACATGGAATCAGATTCATCATTCCTTCCTTTGTCTGGGAGCCCCTCAAATGTAGGACACAGCCACCTACCCAGCGTTGGGTCGTACTCCCAGATGAACCGCTTGGTCAGGAAGCGCACCACGAGAGCTGCAGGGACAAAGAGATTTCGGGTCAGAAGGACAAGGCATCAACTCAACAGATTGGCTTTAAAGCTTTCCCAGCAAAGTTTTCTATGTGAGTGGACAGGTAGCAGCTCCCCTGAACTGTGAGCTTCTTGGGGCACTTGAGAACTTGTCCCTGTGGCCCACTTCACGCTTTTGGATGGGAGCAACAGAACAAATCAAAACAAACATACCAAAAACTTTTTGCAGCATTAAAGCAACTACTTTGGATGCTTTAGGTATCCTATAACCAGTGGGGAAAGTGTTGGTGGTTTTAGAACCAGCTTTGACACTTCAAAATGAGGGGTTGATCAAAATAACTTTATTCTTGAAAACTTGCCTTTGGATTGTAAACCTTGTAAGGCAGAAATAACTGGCTAAATAGCTTCCTTCTCTGTTTTGGCATGCCTTGCAACAGTTTAATTTCCACATTTTGCCTACTTGAAAAAAACAGATTAAATATTTCAAACCAATGGTCAACACATGCTATTAATCAATTTGCAGAAATAGAAAAACAAGTTTATATTTTGGAGCACTGGACAGGTAGTTCTTAGTTTCAACTTACAGGATAAGATCTTGCTACTTATATTCTTGTATTTAAGTTTTTCTATCCCTCCAAACCCCTTAAAAACAACTCCTATAGACTTTGATTATTCTTTAATTTAAAACCATGCACTGCTTTGAATTTCTAATGATGTAAATGAATCATTTACCCCTGCAAACCATCCAAAATCCTTTCTCCAAATGAAACCAGAGATATCACTGCACAGGCTAAGAGTGCAGCAATTACAGCTACAGGAAAACTTTTCCTTGTCATCAGACCCATATGATTGTTCCAGCTTTTGGTTGCAGGTGGACAATAAAACCCAGCTCTGATCCTTTTCCAAACTGAAGCTAGGAGAATGCCTTCCATCCCAGACTTAGGATAAGGCAAGAGTCTGCAAAATAAATCTAATGAATTAAGATTTCCTTAATCAGACAATCAGAATATTAGTTTTAAGAAGATTAATATATCTCATACTTGGAGGGGTAATAAGAAGCTGATCCTTAGGAAATGAGATCACCACACAAGAAGTGATTTGAAGTTGGTGTTATTATAGGTTTCTATTTTCCTTAGGAAATCCTACTTTGATTTTTTTTCCTCAGGCTTTGATGAAATGCTGTCCTTGTTCCTCAGAGTAGATGTGGCAATTCTTAGTCAAAGTAACTTTTCAAGTATGGTCCTTAACCTGAATTCCATAAGATAACAAAAACAAGATGACCTCTTTGTAGCTGATTTTACATCCATGGTAATGTTGCACCACGAATTTTTTTTTATGTACTTATTATCATAGCTGGAATAGTTCAAGCATCTTGTTGTTTTGAAAGTTTGGTCATGATTCTTTAATTGCTAGTAATAGATTCTCTCTTATTAGCTTCTTTGTCAAAGACAGATTTAAAAACAGATTTTAAAACATTAAACAGATTTAAAATTACTTAAAACAGATTTTAAAAATCAAACAGATTTTAAAAATTTATTTAAAATTTTTAAAGAATTTAAAAATGTTTTCACATCCATACTCTGAAGGAGAAGGAGTGATGGGCTACCTGTGTGGCAGAGCCAGAGCCTGAGCCTGTGCCTGGACCTGGAGAAGCTAATGAAGACAGATTAAAGGTAGAAGAACCTGTCCAACTGTTTTTATACTTAAACATGGTCCCCCTATTTATGATAACCTTGTACTTGTAGATGGAAATTGCTGGAGAAGAGAGTAGAAATGATGGAGGGGATTGGAAGTTTGTCAAGCATGACTAAGAACAGTCACAGAGAGAGCTCTGAAGGGAAAGAGAGAGAAGAGCTGGTTTTGGAGGTGCCCAAATATAAGAGATTAGAAGGTGACAAGCCATAAGAAGTACAAGTAGAACTGGGCTGGAGGTGCTGAGATGAGCCTGGGAGGAGAAACCCAGGTTTCATAAAGCCCCAGGGTACACAACCCACAGTTATTACACAGGATGAAATGGTGCAGGTGTGCAGGGCTGCAGAGGTGAAGAATTAGAGATCACAGGTGTAAGCTCTGCTGAGGAGGGGGTGGCTAGGTTGTATTTACCTCCAGCACATGCAGATACATAAATAATGACATGTTTAGGAGGGTGCAGAACTAAAGAAAGAAGGGTGGGAGCTGGCTGCCATGCACAGTCAGATGGCAATCAGTCTCTGCTGGCAGACCTCAGAGGTGAGCACTGAAAGCACAGTGAGCTGCTTGCTAGGCACTGCTGCCAATGAAGTATTTTTATAAGTATTTTCCTTTTCTTTGGGCCTAGGGAAGGGAAGGAAACACCCCCTTATCACAACCCCAGTGAGTGGGGAACTACCAGCTCCAGAACCATGAGCTCTGTGTCTGTTTTGGGGCACTGTGGGGCTGTGCAGGGCTGCTGGCTCTGCTCAGCCTCCCTGCTTCTGACCCAGTCAAATTCCTTCAAAATGCTGCTGCTCTCTGTCATGGCAGTGGTCACAGCACATCCTATAAAGCTTTTCACTTCCACACATTTTTATGAGGCTGAAGATTAGCAGCTAGCTGCATTTCACAGATGGGGAGCATGAGAGGTTCTTGATCCAGAGCCTGTTCTGTTTATAAGTATTTCAGACTATGTTGGATGGGAAATATCTTCACTTTTGCCTCATTAGGGGTGCTCAGCAGATGGGCCCTTGACATCCAGTGGGATATTAAAGCAATGTATGGGGCTTTGCTGCCTGATTTGACTGAAAATAGATGATGAGGGAAGAGCTGGGAAGGGCATCCAAGTGCTTGGGCTGTGAGTCTGGAGACCAGCTTGCTGGCTGCTGCCTCCTGCCCCAGCAATGATCCCCTGGAGCAGGGGTATTACTGGAGCCAGGCTGTTTATGTTGAGCTCACTCACTGCCAGATTACATCACTTTGCTGTAAAATAGCTCTGCCAGCAGAAGAATCAGGAGTGAGGACATCAGCAATTCACTAGACTTGGAGCTGGAGCAGTCAGATTGCTGCTGCTGGCTTAAATGATGCTTTGGGCAAAATAATAAAATCCCCCTTGTGTCCTTAGTAATGTTGTATAAAAGATGAGTTGAGATGGGCCTTACTTCCCTCTCACCTGAGCAAAGGTGTATGTGCTGTCTGACCAGTCAGTTTTACTCTAATGCTAATAATGAGCCAAAAATAACCCAACAGACTAAAGAAAACCAATCCAAATGCTGGGTTTTAATTCAAAATAACATTGAGACCAAAACTGTCTGAAACACATTATTTTCTGATTAAATTAAGTGACTAATTCCAATATTCATATTAAAATGGCCATTTCCAGTGCTCATCCTCAAATTCATTTTGAAGCATCCCAGGCTCAGATTGATGCAGTAGTTAATAGGAGTGAATTTCATGGCTCTCCACTGAGACTGCTCCAGGCTCTTCCCTGAACTCTTACAGCTTGTGAAACACAAGAACTTGCAGGCTGGGAAGGAAAGAATCACCCACAAGCTGCCTTGTGGGTTCCTGCTGTGCTGTTTGGAGACATGACCATCACCAAGGGGAGCTGATGTAACATCCCAGCAAAGGAAGAACAGACTCATGTCTCCTTCTGCCTTTCCTGACACCCTCACTTCCAACTCAGCTGTTTTATACAGGGCATAAATTAGGGCAGAACTTGGCACAGGACTTTCATTCACTCATGTTTAAAACTTCTGCCTTAGAAGTTATTCTTGGAGAAGAATCTGACTATCTGTCAAATACATTTGCAGTGCAGCTCCACTGAAGACAATGAAGTTATACCAGGATTTAACATGGCATATAAACCAAGGTTATCAACCACATAATTAATCAATTTCTTTCAAACTTGTATGGCTGAGTCCCTTGCTCAGCTTTAAAAATCCCATTCCAACTATTTTGGAACTTTTTTTGTGTGTGTGTGTGATATTTTGCATCTTGTTTTAGATCTTTGTTTGGATTTAGTAACATATAAATGCTCTAGCTAAATTTACAATCTGTCTGAACACATATCTCTGTGGATTTGGTTTCATTCCAGCTAATACAAGCTGAGTTTTTTGGGGAAGAAAGGAAGCAGGGTTTTATTTGAAAAACAACCCCCTTCCCAAAAAGTTACAGAGTTCAAAGTTATTCTAAGAAAAATAACAGTTTTCCACAGTGAAATAACTGTATGATGACTCTTTTATGCCATGAGAATTTTCAGCTATAAAAATGGTCTGAAAGTAGTCCCATTATTTAACTTATCAACAAGTCCATTCCTGGTGCCATGATGATGTGTCATCAGTAAACCACGCTTGGCAGGAGACACCAGAGTGGTTAAAACCAAAGGTTAGAATGATCAAAAAGCACTTTCAGAAATGAAGTATTTCACTGTTTCTTAAAATATAGATTTTTGTTAGAGAGTTCATCCTTCAATCACCTTCTCAGAGGCCCCTTAGGTATTGGAATTTCAGCCCCCCTGGAAGACAGGGTGAGTTCCAGCCTGCAGGATGGCAGTGCTCTGGATTCTGGTAGATGATGTTCTCCCTCCTTAAACAGCTCTCTGTCCACCTTCAGGAAATAATGGTTTTCTTTTAAAGGCAAAACCATGAGGATTTAATTTGCTTCTGGAAGGGCAGGTCATCTGGGGGTGTCTGTGTGTGGGGGAAAGTGTGAACTTATAATGCAGAGTCCTTTTCTGATCCATCAGGGATGTGAGCACGCACTCATTGCTTGCTCTGCATCCGTGGGCCTGAGTTTGAGTCAGCTCTGATGGGATCTCTGCAATTCTGTGATGTGGGGATGTGAGGGCTGGGTGAGACATCAACAGCAGCACCTCTCTGCCTCCTCTCTTGGCTTGCTCACCGTGGTCACTTCTGATGTTGGGACCTGCTGCACTAAACTAGAATTTTCCTACAGTAAATCTAATGGAGCAAAGCAAGATCCATGAGAAAAATAAGGGAGAACTCAATGAAGCATAAAAATGTTTTGTTTTACACTGCCTTGCTGTTTCAAA